GCAGAAAAAGTGGCTTCATTGAATGGAACATACATTCCCTTTAACTCTGTCTAGTTTCACCTTCAGATTAAGGTCGACATGTTTTGGAGTCTGACACTGAGTTCCGAACAAGAGAGTCAGCTGAATATTTAGCGCAAATGGAACTCCATGGGACTCCAATGGGTTCACTTGGCTCTCAAAGCACCTTAGAATTCAGAGATGTTGCGTCCATGCTTACATTTTAAATTGTTGGTAAGATATACTGACGTGTATTTCCCACTACTGTATTTCATGAATACGTACGTTGTGTTTGGGATTTAAAAAATTTGTTCAAGCATGTGTACTTCCATCTTTGCAGCTGTGCAATGGAGGTGATGGAGGAAAGGATGGAGATAGAAGCAGTAGTCTGGTCCCCCTCCCCCACTCTATGGTGTTTCCTATTGTTTCAATAAATAAATATATATTATGGTACTTGGGTGGAACCTAGCAGGTGTGGAGTCAGAGTCGAGAGAGTGGCATCTGGTTAGGGGCCAACTATTTCTAGCAAGCCCAGGCCTGGCTCTAGCCATTGCTTTACTAGAAACTTGACAGAGGAAACTGCATTACAACAAAACTTCCCTCTAAGCAAGTTTTTTTCCTCCACTTCCCACCTAGCCCATTGCAGGTTATTAGTCTTGGATCAGAGAGGCAATACTACGATGTAAAAGGGGAGGAAACAGGAGGTGGTGGTGACGGTGGTTTGGAAATGTCAGCTATCACCGCTCTTATATTCACATTTTGCAGGGGCCCCATATATGTTCCATAAACCTTGGTGGTGAGGCGAGGGAAGCGGTTAACACTTTCCTGCTGTTTCATGTGAGCTGAGTTTTGCAGTTATGTAACAGCTAGGACACCTCTCCCTCTCCCTCTCTTTGTGTGTGTGCATGTGCGTGCGTGTGCAGTGTGTCTCTTAAAGACATCAGATTCTCTGATAAGCAGATTAAAGTAGGGGAGAAGGGGAGAAACAGAAATAGAAAATCAAGATGCAGAGAAGCCATAGTGTCACCATGGAAAGACATGAATATTTGATTAATATCTGTCAGAAAGCAGTCCATATTTTTCTCAGCCGTTTATCAGAAGCTAACGAGAAAGCCAGGAATGGCAGATAAACTGTAAGTTAGCAGGTTCATCCTTCCTGATGTTCTCTTGCAGTGTGCTCTGAGTGTAATCAAGCAGCCGAGGGGGGAAAATTGATTAAGGGTTTTTGTTTGTTTGTTTGTTTTTGTTTTTGGTCATTGCTGCTTTGAGGGAATCTGACAAAAAAGAGGAAAGGATGGAGTTATCCCATTCATCCACCCTAACTAATTTGTTTAGTTATTCACTGGAAAACATGTAGTTTCTGCTCTGGATTTTTCAGCTCTGGGCCTATATCAGATGCAAGACCATATCCTTGCCACAGTGCAATTGATAGTGAGGCCTAAGAGGTTAGTCTCCATTCTTTGACATTGTTTCAGCTTTTGCTGCTAAACTCCACTTAGGTCTCATAAAAATGTAAATACAAAAAGAAATTTTGGATGGACTGGGTGTATTGCCCAGTCTATTGGTGCTAGCTGATAGCAAGAACTAACAGGCCTCAGCCATATATAGGAGGTAATACAGTATGCGGGTTTCTTCAGCAGGCATGGAAAACTTTCCCTGAGAGTAGTAAAACCGAAAAATATAGTGTCCTGGAATAGTGTTTATTTTTCTCTGTGTGTTTCTGAGGTCCCTGAGGTTTCTCAATGGAAGATGAGCTGCTCTGAAATAATGGTTTCCTCACAGTACCAGGCTTGCCTTGGAGTATGCAGCCACAAGAAAATGTTGGATGTGTTCTTGAATAGTACATCCTCAGACTGTACAGGGTGATGATGAAATGCAGTAGGCAACATTCTAAAAATGGCCCAGAATACTTTGCACAAGACGTTCCTTGGTGGGCAAGCCAATATGAAAATACTTCCTTATACAGTGGTGCCTCGCGTAGCCACGTTAATTCGTTCCGCAAAAATCGCTGCAGATACTGGGTAATGTTAAGAAAAGGCAGGACCTACGGTCAGCAGGTGGAGGGCCCAAGAGAAGTACTGCACAAGGTTGGAGACATTGAAATATGATTATTGGAGTTCACCACTACTGTTGTAACAAACCTCTATAGGAAACTCCTCAAAATAGTGTCATGATGCCAGTGGTAAGGGATGATGGAGGTTGCAATTCAATAACAGCTGCAGGACCGTATGTCCTCCATCCCTATTTTAAAATTGTCTGGCAGGTGGTTCTACAGTGTAGCTCCTAAACATTGATTAACCAAGCTACTCCAATAAATAATGGGACACCGAAGGTGTTCTTCATTGGTAATTTACGCTAGCTTACTGCTGGATGGCTCTGTTTTGCCCCAGAGATCATACTTGCCCAACAAACACTCACTATCATTCATAGATATTTATTTAGGAACATAAGAAGCTGTCTTATAATGAGTCATATAATTAGCCCTTCTAGCTTGGTGTTGTCAGCTATTTCCAGTAGGATCCCATGATTTCAGATCAGATGCTTTCCAAGCCCTAGCTGGTATACTCTGGTGGTCTCCCATCCAAATACTGTCTATACAGGCCTGATGCTACTTAGCTACTGAAATCAAATGTGATCAGCGTGTTCAGAGTTGCATGGGGTTTATAAATTGATAGCTGTTTAAGTTGGTTCGGCCCCCGAACACAGTTCAGATTTTTCATGTGGCCCCTTGTAGAAATTAATTGCTCACCCCTGCCCTAGAGAGACCCAGTGTTGGGCTGATCATCATGACTTCCACCCTACCTATGGCGGCTAGTGACATAGCAGGCGGTGATGGTGATATTCTGACCGCCACCCTGGAACACTCATGGAGGTGGAGGAGCTGAGCCCATGTGCGTGCTCTCGGGCGCATGGGTGAAGCGGTGGCGGGAGGGCGCCCGCCTACACCGGCAGGAGCGCTCCCTCAGCCCTTTGCGCATGAGCAGGAGCACCTGCATGCACGCACGCACGCCTGCCCACGCCTTTGCGTGGGCGCTCGGGTGCATGCGTAAAGGGGGTGGGGGAGCGTTCCTGCTGGCACTGTCATGTGTGCGCGCGTGCAAAGCAGCTGTGGGGAGGGGAGTGCGTGCAGGTGGTGGGAGGTCTGTCTCTGCGGCCTGGTCCAGCTCAGGCCATGGACCGGCACCGGGTCGCTGACTAGGGGTTGATGATCTCTGCTCTAGGCGCTTATCTGTCTCTGCGGCCTGGTCCAGCTCAGGGCACGGACTGGCACCGGGTCGCTGACTGGGGGTTGACGATCTCTGCTCTAGGCGCTCGATCCAGGTCTCCCCTTCTTCCTCTTCCTGTGCTTCTTCAGTTCGCCAGTGGCAGAATACAAGCAGAGGAAGAGGAAGACCTGTAGTGGTCCCAAAAAGAGTCGCCCCAAAAGATCTTACAAGCCTTGTGCTTTAGCTGGCTCAGAAATGCCATAAAACAACAGTGCTGCAATCAACTTCCAAGCTGACCCTTAAACTCTATGCTGAGGCCACCATGGAGCTGGAGAAAGCATAGGCAATTTGCATGTGTCCCTCACCTAGAAGCAGAGGTGTTGACTTTTTGTGATCTGTCTGCTTCATACTGTGGTCAAGGATAGCAGCAGGGACACAGGGCTCAACCTCTTCACAGACTTTGGGGCAGGGTGAAGTAATCACTCTCCAACCTGGAACCTAGGGGTGGGTTTGAGCTCGCCATAGCCCGGAGGAGAACCTTTATAATTTAAATTTCCAAATAGAATTTGCTGGTAGGCAGGTTAAATCTGTTGCAGCAGAACAAAAGAAAAGAAAAAGAAAACGACTCACACATACACATACAAAACAAATCAAAAAAAGGTCTTGTGGCACTTTTAAATCTAAAAGTTTTGTGCTCTGTAGTTTACTTCTTCGGATCTATCTGAGCCAGAAAAGAGAGAGACTGAGGGCCAATATGCATTTCATGTTCAGTGTGTGTGTGTTGCGTGTTTCTGGTTCAAGTAAAAGTTATATGGGAGATCAGTACAGAACAGGATTTAGAATGGCAATTTCAGGGTTTCCTTTTATGGAGAGGACTGAAGAGAATTAGCCCAATGATTCACAAACAAGGTAGAAACTGTGGAGAGATATGAAGAAAGACAGAGAAGTGGCAGCTTGAAGGTAGCCTGGGAAGATATTCCAGGCCACTAAAAGAAAGTATGGACCAAGTTCTTTAAGGGAGTAAGAAACCTCTGAGAAGTAGAGGTTGGTGTTCCTGGAGGAAAGGTCATGAGCAGGGACTTGTTGGGAGCTAAGGGTATATAATATGGTGTCGGTTAAACCCCAGAAATGGGTTTGAAGTGTTTTAATGCATGCTTAATACTGAGTTCTGAATTTTTAGTTAAATTCCTCTAGCTGCACAGCAGAAGTGCGGGGATTCACAGAGCAGAACAGCTTCAAGTTCCCCAGAGTAGTCCGCCCCTTTTCTCATTAACTGGGACTTACAGCCTCAATAACTCACTCTGAGACTTTTGTAGGAGAAAGAATAACATGTTTCATTACTTACAGTTATGAACAGATCAGTCAGCAAACTGACAATCAGCAACAAATTTCAACTATCTCAAGGGAGGGGGAAAGAGGCATAGAGCAGGGAGGTAAATCTCTCTTTTGAATTCAGAGGCAGGAGGGAACAACAGGTTCGTGCTGGATAGATTGACAGTCACTCCAGCCCAGATAGGCCCCTCCAAGCCAAACGGCAGTTTGCAAATAAAAAATATTGAAATGATACCATATTACTTTTTAAAAATCTGACCTTTCCTGCCTAAGGTTTTTGCCAGCAGGATGCTATGTTTAGTTAAGTTTTTCAAATGCACCTTGATAATTTTAGGTAAAGAGGCAGGTATACTTGGACTACTTGCATTTAGGATGTATTTCTGCCGCACCTGGCCTACTACAGAATTCTCACTGACTATATACCAATTTTAGAGACTGAACTGTTTCTTTGGTGACCTATTCCAGATTCACCAGCCGGTATGGATCTAAGCCATGGTCGTGAACAGCGAGAACCTACAGGTACTGTGCAATGATGTCGCTTCCCGTTTCCTGCTTTTAATGATATACCTGTCTAGTACCCTAGAGAAGAGTCTTATTAGAGTACTGTATCAGTAAAAAAATATGTAGAAGAGTAGAAACTTGATCCAGAATGTCTAGTTTTATTTCCAGTTTGGAAGTCTAATGGCTACATATGTGATGATTTCTAATGATCTGATGTTAGTGCCAAAGCATTTGAATTAAATTTGTAAAGCTAGCATGTTGGGTTTGAAATCAAAAGACTGACATTTAAATTCGTTGATGTGAGAGCTTGTTGGGTTGGTTAAGTTATTGTATAGCCTCAGCTTTCCATGTCTGTAAAAAGGGTATATTGAAAACATCTTTTGTTTGTAATTGAATATAAGTGCTCAAATTATTCATCATTATCATAATCCAATCATATCAACTTAAAAAATATTTGCAGATGTCCAAGATGTTTCAGCTGATGGCAATTCTAATACATCCCATGAAATGGAAAATATGGACAATGGAGATGACAGAAAGGAATATCGTTTGAGTAATGGCGGAGAGCGAGAAGGTAAAGTGGAAATTGTTTACTTAAAGCTAATCATTTGGTGAAGCAACCTATGCCACAAAGGGTTGCTGCTTTAATTGAACCAATCAAACAACTTCCCACATTACTGTAAAAAAATGCCCCTAATTAAATTGGAAATCTTTACTTCTTTTTCACTTTCTGAACTAGCACCTGATACTTTCTTTTTCTTGCCCACTACTTGAGGAAGAAGGATTTATGGTTGGGAGGTTCAGAATTCTCTTCTAAGTGGAGAAGAGAAAGAGTTATTTCAGCAAGGGAAAAGGACAAGCCAGCCTTTAGTTGTTGAAGAAATCAACTAAATTCAGGTAAAACTCCAGCTTGTGAATCATCTGATTTGGGCTATGCCAAAAGCCACTCTCAAGCCTTTTCTATACCACCTAGATGAAAATGAGGCAAAAATCAGATTATATGCTGCAGGTAACACCTTTGATCAGAGGAGAGAATTCCTTATATGGTGATAACATGCAATTGGTACAGAAGGAGGTTTTCATACCTCCTGTAGTTTGCAAACTACAGTAGATTGCTTTGTTTAGTGATTGGTCTTTAGATATGCACACCACTTGTGAAGGTCTGCCTAAATCCTGTCACTGAAACACTAATGAATTTCTGTCTTCTAACGCAGTGGTCCCCAAACCTGGGCCTCCAGATGTTCTTGGACTTCATCTCCCAGAAATCCTGGCCAGCAGAGGTGGTGGCGAAGGCTTCTGGGAGTTGTAGTCCAAGAACATCTGGAGACCCAAGGTTGGGGACCACTGTTCTAATGGACTACAGTATCTATTAGGAGCACAACGATAAATAAAGCAAGGAGTGGAAGCAGTGGGAACTGTTCAATCTGAACTCTGACCTAAAGATAACTAACTGGAGGAGAGCACTAACCTCTGGGTCTTGGAGATGAGAGTAGGCAGTTGTAAAATTTGAATTTCTGTCCTAGCGAAGTTTTGTAAATTAATGGTAAGATATGAAACTTCAGAAGCAGCCACAAAGGGTTTTGGGGGGTGTAGGAACAAGCATATCTTTACCATCTTGTCTTGCATGCCGTTCGAGCGTGCTGAAACCTAGCAACTGCTGTATAAACTCCTTTGTGTCTCTAGTACTTTCTTTAAATGGGGTTGCTTCTAGATTGAAAGCTGTCTAGATAGCTCAATGAGTTAGGTATATGGCTACAGAGCCACAGGTCAGGGTCACAGTTTCCCATTATGCGGTCCAGGAAAAAGAGCCAGCCTGTGCAGACTTGGGCAAGCTACGCAGTTCCAGGACGCCCCCAGAAGAAGGGGATAATAAACCACGTATGAATACTCTATCTCTAGAGAACCTTGCAAAAGATTGCCATAAATGAAAATTGACTTTGTTGTTGTTGTTGTTTAGTTGTTTAGTCATGCCCGACTCTTTGTGACCCCATGGACCAGAGCACGCCAGGCCCTCCTGTCTTCCACTGCCTCCTGGAGTTGGGTCAAATTCATGTTGGTAGCTTTGGTGACACTGTCCAACCATCTCATCCTCTGTCGTCTCCTTCTCCTCTTGCCTTCCCTCTTTCCAAACATCAGGGTCTTTTCCAGGGAGTCTTCTCTTCTCATGAGATGGCCAAAGTATTGGAGCCTCAACTTCAGGATCTGTCCTTCCAGTGAGCACTCAGGGTTGATTTCCTTTAGAATGGATAGGTTTGTTCTCCTTGCATTCCGGGGGACTCTTAAGAGCCTCCTCCAGCACCACAATTCAAAAGCATCAATTGTTTGGCGGTCAGCTTTCTTCATGGTCCAGCTCTCGCTTCCATACATCACGACTGGAAAAACCATAGCTTTGACTATGTGGACCTTTGTCGGCAAGGTGATGTCTCTGCTTTTTAAGATGCTGTTTAGGTTTGTCATCGCTTTCCTCCCAAGAAGCAGGCATCTTTTAATTTTGTGGCTGCTGTCACCATCTGCAGTGATCATGGAGCCCAGGAAAGTAAAATCTGTCACTGCCTCCATATCTTCCTCTTCTATTTGCCAGGAGGGGATGGGACCAGTGGCCATGATCTTAGTTTTTTTATGTAGAGCTTCAGACTATTTTTGGTGCTCTCCTCTTTCACTCTTATTAAGAGGTTCTTTAATTCCTCCTTACTTTCTGCCATCAGAGTGGTATCATCTGCATATCTGAGGTTGTTGATATTTCTTCCGGCATGGGATTCCTTCTGCATAATGTATTCTGCATATAAGTTAAATAAGCTGGGGGACAACATACTATACATCCTTGTTGTACTCCTTTCCCAATTTTGAAATTGTGTACCCTTTGGTGTACACAAGTATGAAGAAAAACTAGACTGAAACAAACAAACAAACAAACAAAACAAAAGGAAGATGTGGAACAGATACAAGTTGAAGATGATGGCATCCATGCAAACCTCAGTGAACAGGGCATTCAAAGGACACAGTAAAAGTCTAGAAGTTCCCTAGGTCTCTGTTTAGTTTTTAGATATCAGCAGTTAAGGAAGTTGGTTGGTGAATAGAAGGACAGATTGAGAAAGTACTGAGGGTAAAGCAACACACAGAAAAAGGAGACAAGTAGAGGCTGCCCTGTGAACTGAGCAAAATGAACGCACCAGCTCAGCAGTGAAGTGGGTGATAGATGATCATATCTGATGAACCAGTTTGTTTGTGCGAAGTTACTGTTAATTTCAGTTATGATTGTGGAGACGAACTCCTCACTCAGTTATGTCCGTTATTAATTATGTGGAAGGAATACTGTAATGTTTGTGTCATAGACACCAAGCTATCCATGAATCTCAAGGTCAGATTGTAATAACTGAAGATTTTTTCCTTCGTGTATTTTCTCTTCTTCCAATGATTTCTCTCCATAAAATGCAGTTTTATTTTTAAAAAATTGCCTTGCGCGAGATTTACTCCATCTGCAGACAGATATCTCAATGACACATGAGACCTGTTCTCTCTCTCACCTGGTCATCTTAACACAGCAAGATGGAGGAGATGGAGGCGTGATATTGCTATCTTTAGTAGTTACATGGAAGGGGGAATTTTAGCAAGTGAAGCTTCCATGACAAGCTACACCTAATCATTTCTTTCTTCTACACAACTGCTAAAGGTATAATAGTAGCTCTTGTCCTCTTTTTCATGTGGATGGGGGCAGGGCATGGAAGATGCCTCAATATGGACTTGCAGGAGGCACATGATCTTCCCTCAGGTACAACTTTCTCCACACAGCCTGTTTGGCATGCTCAGAGCCAGCACCACCACCACTCTGTTCTATATTAGTTTTTAAATTATTTTTTGCATTAACAGAATTTAGTCCGGAAATGTTGCCTTTATCTCTCCTGTATCTGTGGAGTTAGCAGGACAGCAACTGTCTACACCAAGAGAAGATAAGCAGCTATCTAGTGAGGGAGGCCATGAACTTCCCCTTTATGTCTTCCATGGCAATGTCTTAAACTTAGAGCTTCAACTAAAAAGAAAGAAAGAAAATGTTGGTTTTAATGGGCTGAAGGCATTTTTAAGTACAAGAATCCATTCATATATGTAATATTAATTATGCATTTCACAGGGCATGGAAGTCACCTATGACTACACCTGCCCCCCTCCCATAACACCTGCTACTTCTAGTCGAAAGTATTCTCACTTTACTTTGATTGTGGAATAGATACTGCTGGAGTTTTAATAGCCTCACATGCTGCCTGGAGAAGGTGCGGCGAGGAGGAATCTTTCTGGGCTGGGGTGACTATCAATATATGCAGCACTAACCAATAGTTCTTTCCCTGCCTCTGCATTCAAAGAGAGCTGTGTCTCTCTGTTCCTTGCCTTTTTCTGTCTCTGGTGTCTATTGACGTATGGTGTTGAAAGCAGCCATGTTTGCCAGTTTGCTGTTGCTCTGTAAGTAATGGAACTTTTTACTCCTTCTCCTACTAATGTTTCAGAGTTAATTATTGCCTCTGTAAGTTCCAGGAATGAGAAGGGGGATGGACTACTCTGGGAAACTTGAAACTATTCTGCTCTGTGAATCCCTGCACTTCTGCTGTGCAGCTAGAGGAATTTAACCAAATATTCAAAAACTCTGCAACAGATACTAGTCTGTGTTTCATTTTTTTAAGAAATGTGTTCTGGCTACTGCTAGACATTTCCTTCTTGCCCAATAAGAAGAGAATTCTAAGGCCACATGAACAAAATGCTCCCACACATCCCTGAGTCTGTTGTACATATCACAGGACCTGTGTTTAGTTTTGTATTCCTGGCTGCCACACAGATCCCCCTTCAACCTGGATTAAAGCCCAAGTTTCCTTTCCCAGCTTTCCTTTCCCTTTATGCCTTGGCTTCCTGGTTACTGTTACAAGGCAAGTTTCATTTCCTAACTTTTTAATTACTAGGCTAAAAGTGCCTTCTTTGTTGCACTTTTGTCGTTCTCAGATTTTCATTGCTTTCCCCTCAGCAGAAATGTAGGCAATCTGTAGCTCTCAGACTGCTTATATATGAAGTCTTCTAGCAAGACCAATCTCCTTCCACTATCAGCTGTCTTCTACTAGAGAGGAAGACAGAGAGATGGCAGAGTAGAAAAAGGTATAGAAATGAAAATAGGTAGGTAAGCATTTCGGGCATTGCATTAGGAAGTTTCCCTCTGACAGTTGGATTTCTTTACAGAGTCATGTTTCAAGCAACCAACTTGCAAATTAAGCCCTTATTTACCTTCCAATGACCAATCACAAAACAGAACATGCTAGAATGCAAGATATGGGTGCAATGAAAAGCATGAACTAGGACAGATGTCTTTCACCATTTAAGGGAGCATTTTTCTAAATATGGGCTAAATATAATCTACTTTGATCTGGGTGTTGGGTGTGAGGGACAAACAGAAGAGAAATTAATGGCTTGGGATCACTGTTGTCTCTCCTGCTGGTTTCTACTGTCTTTGGCCCATCTACTACCAGCATACTGCTGAGAGGCCAAAGGCTTCAAGTTCCTCACTTGCATTCTAGCATATCAGTAAGGTGTTTTGTCCCT